AAGTACAGAAGGTGTAGATGCTTAGAGATAAGAACTGATGCAATGGTTTATGGGGACATGAGGGGATGTAAGATGCTGCAGGTGAGAGCATTTGGGGAGCAAACAATGAGTATGGGAGGGAATAGGAAGCAATGGAACTGATTATGATTATGTACATACAGCTCATTTTAAAAGCAATTTAACCATGGATGTGTATATGTGAATACTCTATCAAGAAAACCACTTTAAAAGAAAAAGAAACCAAATTTGACCAAACGGTTGGTTACCAAGAGTGAGGAGGAAAGAGTGGTCGCTGAGGTAGTCAAAGGTAGTGGACTAATTTGAAAAAGGTAGTGGACTAATTTGAAAAAGGCTATCAATAATGGTTGTAAAACACAAAAGAGTATAAGCAATGGCACTGAATTATACAAGTAGAAGTTGTGGAATTGGAGAAAGTTTCGTTCTGTATATTTGCACCACAATTAGGAAAATACATAATTACAGGAATAACAATGAGTACAAGGAAGAAGAAAATGCTCTAGAACTGAATATGGTAACAACTGTAGAACTTTTCTTGATGGGACTGAATTGTATGATATGTAGATGAAGTACTAATAAAACTGTTCTAAAAAAAATGATTACAGTCTTGGGAACTCAGAGGGGCAGCTCTACCCTGTTCCACAGTGCCACTCTGAGTCAGCATGCACTCAATGGCAGCGTGTGGTCTCATTTGGATAACAATGCCAGAGATGGGCAGAGGCCAAGGGGCCGTGTGACTGAGAGATATGCCAGCTGGCATGGTGGAGAGAAAATTGCCCTGACTGGGGAACTGTGTTCTAAGCGTTTCTGATCCTGAATGTGGCCTTCCCTGATGAATCCTATAATCTTAAGCTTATCTGTGAGTCTGGGCCATGGCACTCAATGATGAAAGGAGGCGGGAAGTGGAGTAAGCTGGAGGAGCAGCAGCTGGGGTGGGACTGGTGAAGGTCTATGTCTGGTGTCCACCTCACAGGAATCTGCCTCGGGCTTATGCTGAGTTGGATACTTCCTAACCCTTTGTGAAGTCAGAGATCAGACACTGCCCCACACAACTTTTACTCCTAGAGAGCTTATAATATTTATAATAAACTTCTTAACCAAATCCTGTCATTTATTTCATTGAAACACTTACTGACTACCTACTATGTGCCAATTAAACAAAAACTCAGCTCACTGCCATGGAGTCCATGCCAACGACAGGGCAGGGCGGAACTGCCCCTGTGGGTTCCAGAGACTGTGATTCCTTGTGGAAGTAGACAGCTCCATCTTTCCCCTTGAAGGATAGTGTATTCAAACTGCTAACTCTGAGGACTGCATCCTAATGCATCACTACGCCACCAGGGTTCCTCCCTGTGCCATTACTACACTTCATTTTAGGTAGGTCAAAATCCTGTTATCTAAAAATAAAGTATCTAAATTACCACAAAGGGAAAAGAATCATCTGCTAACAAAGAGTGCAGAACAAAGATAACAAAAGGGGGGAAGGATGAAGTGAGAGCGATGATCGATTGCCCCAGCTTCCGGCTGCA